AATGCCTGGCGACCGGTCTTTCTCTAATCACTGTTCTTTCTAGACGTCTGGATACGCCTAAAATAACAATTGCAGTTCTGCTTTAAAATTTTATGATATGAAGTTGGACATACCTAAGTTTACTTTCATATACTCTATCTCAGATAAAAAAGGGGGCGGGGCTTTTGAATATTGTTTTTTTTTCGAGGACTCAAGAACACCTGATCCCCCAACCTGTTGGGACGAATGGATAGTTTAATTTCAAATGGGAGATTATAGCGAGATACAATATCGACACGGATGCCTTCTATTTCGATGCAGCGTTAGCACCTACCCAAGTCATTGCGTTGCCACTGCATGTGAACGGGAAACAACGATACGGAATCGGAAAATAAACTCAAGTCGAACCTTTGTTTATGCATTGGAGGCGAGGCGCAACGAATTTTTGAAACCAGGCAATTAAAATTCGATATAGAAGCGGAAAGATTCCCTAGAGTCTTGGACCATATGGAACGCGCGTTTAAACGAAAACGTAATATAATTCATGAAAGGGGGTTGTTCTATGGACGCAGACAAAGAGAAAACAAGACGTTTGAAAAATTTCACGCGGAGCTGAGCGCTTCGGCGAAGCGATGCGACTTCACGAATGCGGCGGAGAACGTTAGAGACATATTCATAATGAATATGAAAGAATCGGATTGCTAGCGGGAGTTATCATATTCAACGAAAGCGCCGAAGAAAGTCCTACGAAAGTGCCCTATCCTATGAACGAGGGGATCGAGGATACAAATCGTCAAGGAAAGCCAGCGTCATCGGTGCCACATATTAGCTTTAAACAAGAGCCAGTGGGGAACATCCAGATTGGGAACAGGAAACTTCCAGAACGAGGACGCGGCGAAAGAGGAACCGAACCGTGGGCGAAACTCGCGAAATGCTATAACCTTGATGCGCCTAACTTTACAATAGAACACATCAATGAGTTCCTCATTAATTTTTTTTAATATTTGGTTAAGGCAGCAGAAAAGACCAAAAGTTTGTCAATGGAATCTTTATTAATTAATTTTCATCTGATTTTGTTGTTTAATATAGAACGTTTTGCTACAAAGTAAGGAACCATGATCCATGTAAAATTTATGAAATGGGAAAAAAGCGATATCTAGAAAAAAAGTTAGGCGTGAAGCCATAAAGTGAATACAAGAAAACTCATGTTCTTTTGCTTTAAGATCAACCATTATACTCTGATAAGATTTAAGTTCTTGTTCCGACTTTCGAGAAAGGGTGGAAAACTTTTGCTCGGTGCGGTCTTCTTCTTCGGACAAAATTTGACTTCTTAACAAGCTTTTTTTTAAACGAAATTTTAAAAATTTTATCTCAATTTATAGAGGTCATGAGCTACAATTCCTAAAAAATTTTCAACAATTTTGTAAGCTTATGCTGATTTGAGAAGTGTCATCTTGACCAATTTGAGACAGTTAACGGGTGATAAGTTTCAAGCTTTAGCGGCATTTTAATCAACCTATTACTTAGTTAAAAATTGTTCCAAATTGATTTGAGGCCTGCTAATTGGGACTATCAAATGCGTTACCAGTGGCCTAATTGCATCACTCAATAGTGCGGTCCAAAGTTGCAGAAAATGAACCTCAAGCTGCTTTAGTTGGATTAACAAGATTACTGCAATGCAAATGGAATTTTGTCCAGAGAGTAGTCAAAGATACGACGCAGTTGTTTGCTCCTCTCGAGAAGATGTTGGAGGGAAAACTTTTTGCCAAGTTTACTAGGAACTTCTAGTGTCACACACTCAGATCGTGTTTTGTATTCACTTCCTGTCAAAAGAGGGGGACTAGGTGTACGAAATCCAATAGAAGGTTCCGAACTAGCATTTTCCACTTCACGTGAAGCAACCGACTGTCTCATGAGTTTGATCCTTAACCAAGATGATTTCGACCAAACTCTACACAAAACAAAGATGCGAGAAGCAAGAAAAAATCACGAGGAGAAACAAAATGCTGTCGACAAAGATAAACTCGATGAATTGCTTGCAGTTTTACCAGCAGATCAGAAACGAGCGATCCGGAGAATAATCGACAACAACTGTTCCTTGTAGCTAACTTTGCTGCCCTTGTTGAAAGATAATTTTGATTTGTCAGCCACAGAGTTCAGAGACGCTCTATGTGTCAGGTACAGAAAACCACTCAAACGTTCTTTCTCGAGATGCGATGGATGTCAACAAGATTTAGACTTACAGCATGCACTTTCTTGCAAGAAGGGCGGACTGGTAACACTACGACACAGCGAAATAAGAGACGCAGTGGACGATCTTGCTTCAATTTTGTGGAAAGATGTGAAAAGAGAACCTGTCGTAAAAGAAGCAGATATAGAAAATGGAACCCCGGCACTAATTGCAGATCTTTCAGCTCGTGGGGTTTGGGATAGACAGTCGGCTGCGTCGTTCGACATCCGTGTTACAGACACTGACGCTCCGTCTTACCAAAACCGCAATCCCATGAATGTACTGAAAACTGCAGAGATTGAGAAGAAAAATAAGTATGGACCAGCTTGTGAAGAAAAGCACATGTCTTTCACTCCTTTTGTCACTTCAATAGATGGTGTTTTGGCACCGGAGTTCACGTTTTTCCTCAAACGACTAGCAGATGGTCTGGCATCAAAATGGGACCGCCCATATAGTCATGTCATGTGCTGGGTGAGATGTAGAATTTCATTCGCTATACTAAGAGCAACCAACATTTGCATCAGAGGCACTAGATCCAAATGGCAATCCCTCGGCGTTGAGGACGGTTACACACTTGGAATGGCATTCTAAAAATTCACACGCTGTTAACTGGGGCTTTCATCGCGCATAACTGACTCCTATGATATTAGAATTTCGACACCATTTGCATAATATTTCGAAGAATATGAGATGTTTGAAGATAAAAACACAGGGTGACAACTGTGAACAAGCAACGAAAAACTTTTCCTTGCACCATTCGAAACCAATTTATTTTGATTTTAAGTTAAATTTACACTGTTGAATCTCAATAGTGCGGAGGATATTACACAAAAAAATTTTAAAAAATTATTTTTTTGCTGAAATTACACCATTAATAAAATTTGAAATAAATAATTTTTAGAGGCTAAAAGCAAGTCGGAACTTTCAAGGCATTGCATTGATACCAGTATTGTTGTTTGGAGTGTAATCAATAAATAATATCTTCTAACAAAGTTGGGGGGAGCCTTGACAAAAGAAGACAATTGTTTCTTTTAACACACCACACTGAATCAAAGAATGAAACAAATAGCTTTAAACTGTCATTAAACAGGTGAAATCAGGTAAAATGAGTAATCGAATCCTTATTAACGGATCTGTAGGTAGCCTTGATGAGCAATCAGTAAAATTATCAAAATAAATGCTCAGGTGATCATTGTTAGCATAGCAAGCACTCAGATTACAACAGCACAGCAGAACTGTTCTAAACTCATATCAGAGTAGTATTATTTCATTCTGTCCCATCAATCGGAAAGGGTACGAGCATTCTTCAGTTTAATGATGCATCCTCAAAAGTTCAAAAAATCATATCCTCATCTCCTTCAAACATTCATCAATTATTTATTCAAAAACTTTCGAAAAATGAAGAAAAGTTAAAAATTAGTCGAAGAAAAGCCATACGCTTAACATATAGCACAGTTATTGTGATCTCAGTTATCACTACAAAAAAACTGTTGGTTCAACTTTTTCTTAAAAATACTAAATTCCCCCTTCTTAGGGTATATCAATGTTTCAAACTTCAAATTGATATGATATAAAACAGTTCCATTATATACCTTTCAAAAACATACACAATAAGAAGTACATAATTACCCAACGTTCTTTTTTATAAATAGGGGAACAGTGGTGAAGTGGTTACATCTCCTCCTCTCAATCAAAAGGTCGGATGCTCGAGGCCCACCATGTTCCGTGCTCGTTGCTGGAGGGTGAGGCAACATTACCCAGTCCAAAAAATAACCAAAAGAAAATTGCAGGTCGTTTTTAAAAAGGGGCACAACAGCGGTGCGCCGTGATGAGCTGTACAGCTCGTAAGTTGGTCCTTTCCCGCGTGGATAAATGGTATTAACAATATGTGAAAAAAATTTTATCCTTGAAAAACTTTTATGACTCTTCTGAGAATTCAGTCATACTAACCGATTTACTCAACGCTGAAAAAAAATTTGAATTTTTTAGCATACGGGTTGCGACTGAAAGTGTGATACCTCATTTGACTTCATGTGCATAAAACTCAACTGAAAAATAGCTCCCTGCACTGCGGTTTCTTCTCCCTTTTTTGAGAGTGGTTAGAAAAATCAAAAAAAAAATACTAAAAAGCGACGTAGCTTCTATGACTATATTACAAACGCAACATTAGTAGTATTAAAGTCATGATATACAAATAAAAAATTTTTGAGTGACTTTTATTATATCTTGTGAAATCATCAATAGTTACCATTTTTCTCATA